GAAACTCTGCTCCCTTATTTCCTACATAATTAGACATATTAGTTTCAAAACTACCAAAATATTAAATATATTATACAATTGTCATCAGAGTTACTTGAACTTACAATTGCTTCTTTTTTGCTTTTTTGAAGAACGAAAGCATCCCAATCTTCCTTTGATACGCTAGGCCATATTTTCCATAGGAGTTTCTCTTCATCGATGACTTCATCATCATTGCCACCTCCTTTCTTGTTCTTTGGTTTTCTCACAAGTTTCTTTGTGATAAACCGACGAACTAAGGTGGTCTTGAAGCCTCTGAATCTTGCCGCAAGTAAGGATTCAAACACCCTTCGCTTGGTGTACTCATTTGGAATGTTAAATAGACTCTGCAAGCACAAATAACATTTATTATTAGTTTGCCCATTTAATAACAATAAATTGAAGGAATTTGTAAATGTGCAAAAAAACACTTGCCCTAGTATCATTCCAAAACGTGTCAATCAAGCCTGTAGGTACTTCGCTCAAACGAAGAGTAATGGGAATTTTGCGCGCACAAATCCCAACTTAAACAGTATACTGACGACGTCATTTGCCTGTAGGTTGGCCTACCCTGTCATACTCCAGGACCATTGGACTGACAGGTTTCTTGAAGCTTGTCATCGGACCCCTCAGCTTTTTGTTCGCTGGTGCCTTTACCCCCCCCCCCTCCACTAGGATTCTCATCAAACGACTCAGACATTGCATTTTCGATAGGAGGCGCTTGTTCAGCTGTAATTTCAAACTCATTAAGCATACGATCCAAAACATCTTGAGCCTGATCTTCTGCCTCACCCAAATCAGGCTCCTTGTTCACATTATACAACTCGTCCCCATCCCCAGATGAATCATCATCATCATCCTCTACATCCTCCACTCCAATACGGTAGTGATCATCCGCCATGAGATGTAAAACCTGTCATTACAAACATAACACTTTATTAGTTGTAATATAAATAAATTTGTAAGGTAAACTTATAATTAAATATAAATTGTTGAATTATAATACAAATTAACATAGAAAATGCGGAACTAAGTTACTTCATTCATTTAAAAGAAAATACGAAAAATGGGCAAGTAAGTTAACAATTTCATTCATTTTCACCTAAAAATGTGATTTAATAATACTTTCGACGCCTACAATTTCAAACTAACAAAAAATAGTACCTCAATCTAATATTCCTTCGTCGTGGTCTGATCGCATGTAATTGGCTTGGTCGTCTATCTCATTTGGTACAACAGGTCTAGGAACAGTGAAAGGTGTCGAGTCATCAAACGCATCATATTCTTCCTCATCCTCGACATCTCCAACACTAAGGATTCTTCTTATGCCGGCTAGCACAATAAACCAGTTTGAGTCGGCTGGGTCACTTACGTAAAACACTTGCTTGGCTTGAGATGCATGGATGAATGGTTCAGCACTATCATTCAGGTGGCCAAGATCTACAAGAGTAAAGTTATCATGTTTGACGTTACGCCTGATATTATCAACCCACTTACACCGGAAAAGAGCAATCGTGAAGTCACAATAATCAAGCTCCCATATTTCTTGAATTCGACCGTAGTATGACAACTCTGCATCAATAGGTGATTTATCCTTAGCACTTGCAAACTCCCTTGATGATTCCACAAGCGTTACACCACTGTTTTGGGTCGAGGATGATTTCAAATCCTGACGCTCAGTCCAAAATGTGTACCCATTTATGTCATATCCCTCAAATGAGTGAATGTCATCCCTAGGACCATAAGCAAGCCACCTTATTGTATCTATGACACTCTCATACTTTCCAACCATCACTCAATCACGAAACCAACTCACAAATTTCTTATTATGCAACTGCATCAGTGCCCGTTCACCTTTCGATGGAAATTCATCACGCAAACTAGCCATGTGCTCATCTAAATATGGGTGAACATCTGCAACATGGTGCAACACATAAAGGTGCGCTTGTAAGAACTTATCTCGATCAAGTGACATTCTTTCCGACCCGATTGTGCCATGACCATCAAGTCTCCCTTCGTGTCGAGAAGTAGGAATACCAATAGGTTTAGCAACGGCTATATAGTCGGCCACAAAATTACCGACCTCCTCAGCCACGGTCCCTTGAATAATACTTCCTTCCGGGTGAGCCCGATTCCTCACTTTATCTTGCAATGTACCCATATGTCTTTCAAAAGGATAGCACCACCGCATGAACACTGGACCGCACAACTTAATCTCACGCACCAAATGAAGAATCAAATGCACCATTATGTCGAAAAACGAGGGTGGGAAGTACATCTCAAATTTGCATAAAGTCACAACCACATCCGCCTGTAAAGCATCAAGTGTACAAAGATCAAGCACTTTGCTGCATATTGTATTGAAAAACGAATAGAGGCTTGTAATAGCTTCCCTCACGTCCTTTGGTAAAATACCACGTATTGCAATTGGTAGGAAAACTTGCATCAGAACATGACAATCATGGGATTTCATACTTGTCAGCTTCAATTCTCCATTTAAGGATACAAATCTCTTCATGTTAGATGCGTACCCTGATGGAACCTTAATTCCATACAGACATGCACAAAACATCCGTTTTTCTACTCTTGACAATGTGTAGCAAGCCGAAGGTAAATAGGCCTTACACTCCTTGGATTTTCCCTCATTTTTCTTCTTCGACGCATCCGTGTCCTTTCCCTTTCCCTTGCTCTTCCCTTTTCCTGTTTTCGAACTCAATTCATTTTCCTTTTCCTGTTCCTTTCCCTTACTAACCCTTTGTTGAACCCACAATTCTGGACGCACCCCCATCTTTTTCAAATCGTCTCGTGCACCCTTTCCGTCCTTTGTCTTGCTTTGAATATTCATCAGCGTTCCCACAAGAGCATCACACACATTCTTCTCTATATGCATTACATCAAGACAGTGCCTAACGTCATGTTCTTTCCAGTACGGGAGCAACCAAAAGATTGATTCTTTTTCAAAGAGAGCAGTTGACTCCGCTGCTTTTTCTGATTTCCCAAAGACTGTTCGTACACCCTTAACTCGAGCGTAAACCTCCTCACCAGTCAACGGCCTAGGCGCAGTCCCCTCTTCCGCTGTCCCATCAAAAGCCTTTTTCTGCCTACGGTACGGGTGATCGCGCCTGAGCAACCTTCTGGTCCGCAAATACACCTCTTTGTGAGAATGATCAAGGCGTCTGCTTGGCGTATCATCAATACAAATGGGGCATGGTTTTTTCCCTTTGTTCTTATACCCAGACAAGTTGCCATATGCAGGAAAATCATTAACAGTCCACATAAGAGTTGCACGCAATGTGAACATCTCATTCTTATGAGCATCAAACACGGAAACCCCTTCGTCCCACATCTTTCTCAAATCATCAACAAGTGGCGCAAGATAAACATCTATGTCGTTTCCTGGTTGCCTTGGTCCCGATATCAAAAGTGAAAGCATTACGTATTTCCGTTTCATGCACAACCAAGGAGGCAAATTGTAGATCACTAAAAGTACCGGCTATGTGTTGTGCTGGGTACTAAGAGTGCCAAATGGATTCATCTCGTCCGTGCACAAACCAAGCCTTAAATTTCTGACTTCATCACCAAATTCCCCAAACTTCATATCAATGTTCTTCCATTGCGAGGAGTTGGCTGGGTGCTTCAGCATTCTGTTTTTCTTTTTTCCCTCTGCATGCCACCTCAAGTTTTTAGCGTCTAGTGGTAAAGAGAACAGACGCTTAAACCTTGGAATAATGGGAAGATACCACAACACCTTAGCAGGCGGTCCCTTCGTACCAGCATTGCAACTCATGCGCTTGTAGCGCGACTTCTTACATCGTGGACACTCCTCCAATTTTTCATATTCATTTCGATAAAGAATACAATCATTAGGACATGCATGTATCTTCTTATACTCCAAACCAAATGGACACATGAGCTTCTTTGCGTAATAGTAAGACTTAGGAATTTTATTCCCATCGGGAAACATCCACTAGTAGAAAAAATGAAAAAAGCACCCCCCTTTTCGCACCGGTTCTTAAAAACCGGTGGGAAAAAAATTGGGCGGGATTTGGATAATTACTTTTCGCACCGGTTCCTTATAAACCGGTGCCAAATCTTGGTTTTCGCACCGGTTTGAACCGGTGCTAAATGTTTTATTAAAAAAAAAAGAGGGAGAGAAGGATTTCGCACCGGTTCAGCCCAAACCGGTGAGAAAATTCATTTACAACCGGTTCGAACCGGTGCTGTAAATTAAACAAAAAAACCACTTAATCGTGAAATTCAATCTTCTTCTTCCTTCAATTCAGTTTTCATTCCCCTTCTAGCTTTTCCGCTTTCAATTCGCAACCCCCTCGTTGTCGCCTACCTTCCCCATAGTTGTACGTCCTCCATCGAAGCGCATTCTGGGCTTTCTCACCTCCATTGCCGCAACTCGTCTCTTTTTCTCCATAGCTCTCCTCCATTGAAGCGCATTCTGCTGAGCTTTCTCACCTCCATTGAAGCGCATTCTGAGCTTTCCAACTCCATTGTAGCAGCTTCAAGGTAAGATTTGTTTCGTGGTCTTTCTAATCTATTGAATTCCTTCGAAATCTAGGGTTATTCGTTGATTTAGGGTTTTCTGTTCTTTGTGGTTTGCTGTTGTGACTTTAATTTCGAGTTGTGCATTCAACAATAGTAAATTGTTTTAGGGTTTTGATTGTTGCTGTTGTTTATGAACTTGATGGTTCTCGTTTGCGCATTTGTTTATGAACTTGATGGCTCTCAATGCTACCTGTGCAGCACTACAAAGATTAACCATAGTTAGGCTTTCCAAAGGTAAATTGCACATGAGCTCACTGTGTTGAAGGCTTGAAGCCCAGATTACCATTAATATGGTTTCATAAACTTCAATGTGCTCTGTTTTTTCTTCTCTCAAAATTGATTTGGAGCTGAAATGTGTGTAAGGACAGTCTGATACTTTATTCTGGGTATTGAGGATACCAAATCTATGACGGAGGAATGGGGGATAGTAGATCCAATGTTCTAAGTGTCATTTTAGTGATTAAGGAAATACGTCTTAGGTTAATAATTTTGGTACATGACATGATGTTAGTCTTACCAGTTCTTTAGAGGATGGAGATGAATATTGATAATTTGGGGTTAAAGAAAAGTTTCGACTTTGATTGGATACTTATTATTTTGACATTGCTGAATGGCCTATCTTTTGAGAGAAGATGAGAGCAGGAGCCCTATGTTTCATATCCACATCTTTGATTTGAAAGTCCTGAGGTGTTCTAACTGTACTAAACTGCTATAATGGAAATATGAATCCTATGGTTCATTTAACTATCTACGCTTATTACATATTGTGTGGTAGAATACTGTTCATGCATATCAAATTGAGAATCAAATACAAGAGGGAGGTGTTTTGTTATAGTTGTTAATTCATCTGAAAGGAAGATGAGGGATTTAATTTTTGGAGAAGAATAAGGGCAAGCAGCACGAACCTTTTCAGAGTCACAAAGTCTTTTTTAACATGTTTTTATTTATTTATAATCTCTTTCTCTAATTGCTTACCTTTTTTTTGGGGATAGTTGTTCTTCATTAGAGATTTTTTCCTTTATAATCAAATTTGTATAATGGGGTTGAAGTAGAATGATGTAACGAAATCTACTAGTCAATGTTACTGCACAAGCTTATCTGGAGTATATACAATATATTATGTGTAGAATTATTTTTTTTTCTTCTTCCTGCTTTAATTGTTCATTTTATTTAAAATTGTTGAGTGGTTGGGGAAGTTGGGTCATGGCATGGTTGTTTGCCCATAAATTACATAATACTATGAGGTTTATTATCAATTGAACTGAGTGTACTGTGTACATTTTCAGTAATGAGCTGGGGACAAAAGGTTTTTTTTTTTAATCAAGCTTATGTTATATCATGAAGAGTAATCGCGGTATCATGTGATTTTTTTTTTGTGTAGGGTAGGATATACACCCTTCCAAGTCATCTATCACCTGGAGCTAGAGATCTGATTCCCAGGATGCTTGTAGTTGATCCTATGAAGAGGATTACAATCCTAGAGATCCGTCAACATACATGGTTTCAAGCTCATCTTCCTCGTTATTTAGCTGTGCCACCTCCTGATACAATGCAACAGGCAAAGAAGGTTTGCCCATGAATCTTTCTGTCGGAATAAGTATATGCTTCTGTAATTGTTGAATTTGCTGGATTCCAGAGTGGGAGACATCACTGACTATCTGTCAGATTGGATCCCATTGTGCATAAAATCTCTATTGGTTAACCTCACATTATTTATGCCTTTGAGGGTAGTGCAATACACCTGAGAGATCTCCGAGAAATATCTCAATGATTATGTTCTGTTACTTGCATAAGCTATGTTTTTGCTCTTTGATCTTTTTGTAGCCAATATGTGAATTGACCTTTTACTTCCTACAGATTGACGAATATGGCAATCCCCTTCTGCATTTGCATGATTACTAAATTTTTTCATGCATATAGTTATTCTAAACAAATTTTGACAGCCGAAATGCATATACTAAAGACTAGTGTATCGTTTTAATATCTTCAAAAAGTATCTTTGCTAACTCAGTAAGTAGTAGTATACCCTCTATGGCTATTGCCATCTCTAATCAGGAAAAGCTTTAGATAAATTAGTACTTGATTCTTGTATGGATTAGATTTCCTTCATTGTATTTCTTCCTTTGATATCTCGTTTTTATGGTAATTCATCCTTCGTAAGCAATAGTATACCCTATATCATTCATATATAAATTTGGAATCAACAATTAACTTCAGGCAACAATTAACTGAATCAACTTATTCCCCATTTTGCTGTCTGGCATTTACAGCAGATATGGTCGACTTCATATCTTTTTATCAGTTTACTCAACATTTAATTCTGTGATGGTAGTTATACCATCTAATATGCTACGTAATTGACAGCAATGTCTACGTAATTGCCTGATACAATTGTTTTGTTTTTTTTTTCCTGATTTTTTTCCTCTAGGTGAAACTACTCCAAATATGCAGACCTCAGCAATTATGGAAGCTAGGAAATGATAAGATTTTCAAGTGTGACCGATCCCTCTCTACTCGGGGAAGCAAACAACATTGTCTTCAAGCGTGAAGAATTCGAGACAAAAGTATCAAATCATTTGCTCACGAATGTTTTCTGCTTGCAGCTATAACCGCATAGGAAAAGATGCTGACGAGGCAGATGTGGAGGAAATAATTGATTTGGCCAACAAAGCTTCCTTGGCTGGCCAACAAAAGCAAGTTCAAGAGAATATTCATTCTCAAATAAAAGATTTATGCACGCTTATGGATGAAATTCTTCTTCCTGCCAAGAAAACTGAGGAGCGGTTTGAATCAGCTGCACAAATAGATAAGGATCAGCCACGAAGTGGCCTTAGGTTTGCTCTTGGCCGTATTGGAAGCTCTCCTACTAACCATCTTGGTAATTTTTCCTTCAGGTTCCTGAAATTAGCTTGTTCTTTCTTGAATATGAAAAGTACTGGTTGATAGCATTTTTTTTTTTTTTTGGAAAGTAAAATTTTATTACCAAAAGACTTCAAAGCATGAGGGTACATCAAAAGCCAATGGCCAACACAACAACCAAAAACCAAACAAACCAAAGAACACAAGCCAAGGAACAAACAATCTAGCCACCTTCTAGGAAGGGTTCTAGAAAGGATGAACCAAACAGGGGCTCTTCTGCACTCAGTGGAGAGGAACTACCCTCTAGGAGGGTTGAACCAGATCAGAGGAGCAGGACAAAACAAACAAACCACAACTCAACTAGCCTTCAAGGCTAAATACTCAATAAACATAACCTGACAGCAACCATTAACCTTAAAACTCAGAAAATCAGTTTTTGTCTCTCAGGTTCAGAGCATCTACAAGAGACTCTATAAACTATATTCCTGAACACAGTATCAGCAGGCTCACAGACTCCATTGAACATAGTATTATTTCTCTGGGTCCAAATGCTGTAAACAGCTTCTGCCAGAAACATCAGATGAAGCTTGCTGTTAGAATTTGACCTTCTACAATTTTTAATTGCCCAGTCAACTTCATGGTTGAAATCTTGAACAGTTTTTTGGCATCTCAGGAGGTGTAACACTTTCTTCCAGATTACACTAGAATAGTTGCACCAAAAGAAAAGATGCTACACAGATTCATTATCCTGCAAACACAGTAAACAAACAGGGTCACAGACAGGATTCCATTTAAGGATTCTATCCTTTGTAAGTAACCTATTCTAATTGGCAAGCCATAAGACAAAAAAACTTCTTGGGGTTGCATGATTATTACAGATGATCCGTTTCCAGGAAACTTTAGGACCTTGAGCCCTGATCTTAGCATAAATCTTCCTGATTTGAACCCTACTGTTCTTCATCATAGAGCTTCAACCCCCAATATTATCAATCAAGCTCCTGCACTTCATAATTCTCCTGAGAACCCAGGAACACTTCTTAGGAATAGCAGCATCCCAAAAATTGGCAAATTTGAAATAGTATACATGTACCCATTTGACCCATAGAGAGTCAGATTTGTGAGTGATATCCCAGAGAACTTTACAGATTGCAGCAAGATTCCACACACAGAGAGATATGATATTCCACCCTCCACAAGTACTGGTTGATAGCATTGCTATTTATCTTCTGCCTATGCTACCTCTTATTGATCCAATATTTGAATACAATGATATCTTTAATCTTTAACTTGCTATGGATGTAAATCATGTAATTTTATTAATATAATTTCTTGTAAGCAAGCGTAAGATATTGTATTAACTACACAAACTAATTTATAATGCCTTCTAGTGCATATCAAACTTTCTAGGAAGGACTTTAAGCCTAGCTACATACTGTCTTACAGTGTTGCACATCAAACCAATCTTTATCCCTACGACCCTAGTCCCTAACCCTAACTTTAGTGTGATGAGATTATTTACTTTGACTTTCTAATCCTTCCTTGGGACTTGTAGTCCTAGGCTGCACAAAAAAAAAAAAAAAAAAAAAAAAAAAAAAAAAAAGAAGAAAAGAAAACAAAAGAAAGAGCCCTCTCCTGATTTTATTGAATTTATGCTTGCTCCTCAGCTGTCTGGGCATAACAGAAATTTAGGATTCATTACTAACCAAATGTGAATTTTTTGTAATTGCTGTGATACGGTGGTGCACAAGGGTTCTGGAATTCTTTGTAATTGTTGTGATACGGTGGTGGGTTGTCTGCCTTTAATTTGACCTTCAATATTGTCATTTACTTTGAAGCTTGTTTTTTCACATGAAATATTATTCAGGTTAGTGCTTCGCAATTTAAGGCACATGCTGGTTGTGCTTCACGCAGAAAACCGTAAGTTTCATTATAGCATTTTGTGGCTTCTCATTTGGAGTTGTATTGTGTTTTTGCTCAACCCTTTATCCTTGTGAATGATGACATGTATTGCTATATATACACATCTAATGGGGTCTCACAGCATGAGTTATCGGTAACCCTAATTAAAGATCGTCGTCATTCTGCCAAGTACAATGATGACCTGACAGAAGTTTATGAACAAGCGGAGCACTTGGGCAGATTGTATAGGCTCCATACATTGAAGAGCATGAGTTCTAACAATTGAATTGACTATTAGGCTCATCAAACTCACACTGCCCTCCAGATTTCTGCATGTTGATTCAGCCAACAATACAAACCAGCAATGGCAGCAGCAACACACAACCAGGCACCAGCTGCATAACCAAAGCAACAACAACAGTACAGCAGCAGCACCACAAAAGAAAAACAAACAGCAGCTAGCACCCCACCCAGCACCCCACAACAACTCATCCATCACCATGAAGGCATTTTTGAACAAATTAAAGAGTAATTTCATATACAAAATTTTATTTTATTTTTTAGATGAAAATTGTAATATTACGGCTTTTTTTTAATGAAAATATGTAATTTTATATATATGTTAGTGTTTATATATCAATTTAAGTGAAAAAAATGCAAAAAAAAAAAGTTTTTTTTTTATTTATTTTGGCCATTTTTGGCACCGGTTTTGGAAAGAACCGGTGCTAAAAATCTTTTTTTAAAATTTTTTTGGGGACTTTTGGCACCGGTTTTCACCCAGAACCGGTGCTAAAAGTTTTTTTTGAAATTATTTGGGGACTTTTGGCACCGGTTTTGAACCGGTGCGAAATCTATGGGGTTTTAGCACCCCCCAAAGCTAGACCGGTTCAAAATCGGTGCGAAATGGGGGGTTTGAACCGGTGGGGAATGCGTATTTTCGCCTAGTGATCTCACTTAACACGGTCAACAAAGAAGTAAAACTACTGTCCGTCCACCCATGCTTCGACTTAATGTTAAAAAGTGTTAGCACGGCTGATAGTTTGGAGTATTTTTTGCACCCAGGATACAAAGGCTTTTTAGAAGCCTTCGATAATGACTTAAACACGTCACCTTCAAAACCACGCATCATCTCATCCACCCCTTCATCCTCGACCTCATCCACATGATCATCCTCAAATCCATCCTCAGCACCATGATCAACAATATGTTCATCATTATTCTTGTACTCCTCGTCCACACAAATGTCATTGCTTCTATCATCATGCACATCATTCCCAATAACATCCCCACTGTACTCTCCTTCTTCACCGTGCCAAATCCACACATGGTATTTAAGCCTAAACCCACGACAAACTACATGATCTCTAATGATATCAACACTATTGACCACCTTCACATTATTACAATCAAAACAAGGACAATAAAGGCAATCGAAACCCATTCTGCGTTTGTAAGATGAAGCCCTCTCGCAAAACTCTTGAACCCCATTAAAGAATTCCAATGTATCACATCTACCATACATCCAGCCATGATCCTTCTCCATTAAGTAAATTGTCTCTAAACATGGCAATATATTACGAATCATGTATAATTGCTACCATCTATTATATATGTAAATCAAATTCAAACACACAACATGCATATAACATTCATATAGATACAAAAATGCATATATGCTTCCAAAGGGTCCTTATCACTCCAACCTAACCTATCCTTGAACGTTTACTCTCACTAGTGAATGTATGTCGACTTTCCAATTTTAAGGAAAATCCGGCAGCATTTCCCCCCAGTTCTCCAAGTACACGATGTAGGCAATAAGTTACCCACATATGTACCCAGAGAACATGGTGTTCGAGGAAATGGTAAGCCAAGATGTTCCTTAAAATCGAAAAAAAATAGACATACATTCACCACCTAAGTGAGAGTAAACGTTCGAGAACAGTCCCAACCGGGGACTATTCAAGACTTTCTCCTAATGAGAAAGCCTTGAACGGGTATCTAGGCATATGATGATGCAAGCATTTCATATATTTATTGTTGTATTTAGTTTGTCATTATATAATACACAAGTCTAATAGCTAGCATGAAAAAACTTTTATTAAAACAATAATAAAGAGAAAGAAATATTTATAGCTTAGAGAAGTTTATAATTCATACCAATACTTCCCACTTGAGCTAAATATGTATAATCTTCAAGCTAAACTTGAACTTAAATTCACATATGAACCTATAAAAACAAACAAAAAAAGCTTATAAATAACAATAAAATGGTCTCTTTTGTAGCTTGCATCATATTACCTCCAATTCTTAAGTGCCCACCCACAATATGTGGGTAGCTATTACACTTTCTATTTTCAGACGTTTTAACTAATTCTCAATAGTTTTACTTAATCCAATTTTTCGAAAACCATTTCTATTAGGTTACCCCTCTTACCCTACAATTATATATTTTTCGCTTACTATTTCTTACTTTAATTATTCACCTTCTTTCTACACTTGCCTACCTTTGTAGTTTGAACTATTTGTCTCTTACTTAATCCACTTTATTTGGTTATATATATACCACCGATCTTAATTATTATACACTGTACTCTACCTCATTTTTCCTAATCTTTTTGCAAATATCAAATAATAAGAACACTATTAAATGGATGTAGTGTATATATTAAGTCACTAAATAACAAAGGTGGCAAACGATTCGTCTAGATTAGCAACATGATTAAATTAGTTTTAAGTCGGTAGATTCAATCGGAATAGGCATATTGTTATGCTGAACTAATGGAGACAGAATATTTCACCAATAAAGGTATAGTATTCAACTATCACTACCAAGTTATAGCAACAGCCATCCAAGAAAAACAGCCTCATTGAGCTGCACCATGCACCACACAGCAGCACCTAAACACTAACGCCCAGCACCTAACCTTAATTAGCCAAAACACAATGCAAACCAAAACACTGACGCCCAGCACCTTACCAGAACAATGCAAACCAAACCACAAACAACCAAAAATAAACAGCAGCCCAACACCTATACAACCCACGCACAGCAAACAATATACAAACAGCCAAGGGCAAATCCAAAAAGATGCACAGTACCTGAAACTCGCGCCTTAACCAACTGTGAGAGCAAGAACGTAGTTGTGGAGGGGAGGCAATGCGCGTCTATTGACAAACCCTAGATTACAAGAAACTTGTAATTACTAAATTGTACAGGAAATCCACCAAAAACTCAAGAGTACGAAGGAATTGAACAATGGAGTAAGTAAAACCTAAAAAAAAACTTACCTTAATTAGCTTGAAGTTGTTTCAATGGAGGGATGCATATGGAGTACTACTTCAATGGAGGATGAGAAAGCTCGCAGCCCTTCAATGGAAAACGAAGACCGTTGAATGAAGAAGCTAGCAGGAGAAGAGAAGAGAAGAGGGAAAAATTGAAGAGAAATATCGACTTAATTCAATGGCACAGTGCGTGAAGTGAAGAATTAGAGCAAAAAGAAGAACGTTATTAACCCGGGTTTTTTTTTTAAACATGGCACCGGTTTGAACCGGTGCAAAACAACATAGTTGACACCGGTTCTCCTTAAACCGGTGCGAACTCTTTCCCTTTCCTTTTTTTTTTTTTTTTAAAAAAAAAAAAACAGTTGGCATCGGTTTGAACCGGTGCTAATTACATAATTGGCACCGGTTTAAGTTAGAACCGGTGCCAACTCCTAAATTTTTTATTCCCGCTCATTTTTTTGGCACCGGTTTTCAAGAACCGGTGCTATAGGGGGGTGCCTATTTAGTTTTTTCTACTAGTGTATGTATATATATGTATATGTATATATATATATATATATGTATATGTATATATATATATATATGTATATATATATATATGTATATATATATATGTATATGTATATATATATATGTATATATATATATATGTATATGTATATATATGTATATGTATATATATATGTATATATATGTATATATACAAATATATATATATATATACACACACATATATATATGACTTGTGGAGGAAATGCTCACTTGTCCACTTATTGCAACTCAACAAATCAAGAGCAAGCGGCACTTGGGCAAAGAAATGAGCTGTACTCCCAATCCTACAACCAAATTTGGAAACCCCAACAAAACACGGGAAGGAAGCAACACCACCAAGGCCCCCCACAAAACAACTACAACCAAAATCAAAACCAACCTCAAAACCACTACAACCAACCCCATTCTCAAAACCAACAAGCTCTGTATCGCCATCCTAACCAAAAGGATCAAAACCAACAAAGACCACAATATAACCAACCCACTCCTCCTCCTCCACCTCCTCAAAAGACTAGCCTTGAATCCATTCTTGAAACTTTCATGACACAACAAGTAAGGAACAATGCGGATATGAATGCAAACATCCAACAACTTCAAGCGCACAATAAGATAATTGAGAGCCAATTGGCTCAAATTGCACAACATGCTGGAAGTTCATCCTCCAATCATAGTGGTCATTTTCCAAGCTCAACGGTAGTGAACCCAAAGAATCAAGCTAAGGCTATTACTTTGAAATCGAGAAGAGGTTTTGAGGGTCTGGTTATGAGTGAAAAGGAGCCACAAAAGAGAGATGAGGGATTTGTGGTGAGAAGTGAGGATGATATTGAGAATGAAGTTGTTGAACTTGATAGAAAAGAGCACCAAAAGAGTGATGAGGAAGCCACAAAGAAAGATGAGGGAGATGAAGAAAGAATAGAAAGCCCCCCATGAGAGTATATAAGCCCCATTCCATTTCCTCATAGAATTGTAGAGAAAAAGTTGAATGAATAGTTTTCAAAATTTCTTGAAGTCATGAGAGGACTTCAAGTGAACATTCCCTTTCTTCATGCTATGTCACAAATGCCTACTTATGCAAAATTCTTGAAAGATCTTCTATCCAACAAGAGTAGGCTTGAAGAGAGTGCAACCATCTCCCTTCCTAAGGAGGTGAGTGCAATCATTCAAAACAAGCTTCCCCAAAAGCTTGGTGACCCCGGTAGCTATCCAATACCGATGAAGATTGGAGATTTGGAAGCCATGAATGCTTTCTGTGATCTTGGGGCATGTGTGAGATTGATACCTATTCTATTGCAAGAAGCTTGAATGTTGGAGACTTGAAACCAACTATAATGTCCTTACAACTAGCCGACCGCATGGTTAGGCTACCTTTGGGAATTCTTGAAGATGTGTCAGTTCAAGTTGGAAGAGTATTTGTGCCATGTGATTTTGTGGTAATGGAGATGGAAGAAGATACAAGAGTACCCCTCATTTTGGGGAGACCATTTTTTAGCACTATATATATATATATATATATATATATATATATATATATATATATATATATATATATATTTATATATATATATATATATATATATATATATATATATATATATTCCACTTGAACATGATACTATTATATACTTGCTTAATCAAATACTACGCCAAGCTTTGCAAATTGACGTACCTTGAGCAAACTTGTATACTCATTGCGAACGAATGGACAATGCCTCAAAAGCACTTAAATAATATTCTTCTCCTAAGAAATCAAAATGGAACTAATTAATATTAATTCC